ATGGACAGGGGTCCTGAGAAGACTCTGACAAGGCCACTTACAGATGTCCTAAAATCTTCAAACTCCTTCGCCATGCTGGAAAACGAGTGCTACGACATGGTAAAAGAGTTGAAACCGAAGTTCTACTGAACTTACTGGATCCTTTAGCCTCTCCGGGACACAAACCAGGGTTTTACACAACTCCCCCATGCACCCGAGCTATGTCAATAGGCCGTTCTCCCTCTTCACCCTTACTTCATTACACACAGAAATCACAATAACGTGATGCATCAATAAATAAATCCGCAAGGGCCTGAGCTACCATGGCGTAGCTCAGTCGATTAAGTCAGCGTCTGGGATGATCTCGGACGTAGGTTCGAATCCTCGTCACGGCCCTTGTGGATTTGTTTTCCTCAAATGTAAGGTTTTAAGGCTAGGTAATGATGATAGAGTTACCTGATACGAGCTAGATGGTGTTGAGATTACAAGGTCTGATTGTGAAAGGGATCTGGGAATTATGATACGTAAGAATTTAAAACCAAAAAATCAGTGCATAAATGTTCGTAATAAGGGAAATAGGACACTGGGATTTATTTATCGAATCATTAGTAACAGGACACCTGGTGTTGGTCGTCAGATATTTCTTGCTCATGTTAGGCCTCATTTAGATTATGCAGTTCAGTTTTGGTCACCATACTATAAAATGTATAAAAAGTCACTTACAATGTATATAAATTTATCCTACGTCCAGCGTAGGATAACGAAATTAATCCCTCAAATTAGAAACTTGTCATATGAAGAAAGATTGACAAAGCTTCAAATACGTTCTCTAGGAAAGCGAAGAATTAGGGGGTGACATGATAGAGGTGTACAGGTGGATGAATGGGCATAACAAAAGGGACAGTAATAGGTGTTAAAAGTATCAACACAGGACAGAACACGAAACAATGGGTATAAATTATATAGTATATATTTAAGAAAGATCTGGGTAAATACTGGTTCGATAATAGGGTTATTGATTTGTGGAACCAATTACCGCGTAACATAATAGAAATATGATCCCTTGATGGTTTCAAGCGTAGGTTAGACTAATATGATTGAGATTAGATAAATGTAAATGGGAGTTGCCTCGTATGGGCCAATAGGCCTTCTGGGGTTACCTTGACATTTCACACTGATGGGTTTAATGCCAGGCGCTCAGACACCAGTCAGGTTGTTGTCTTCCTTCACCACAATCAGGTCACCTCCACACTTCACAATCAGGTCACCTCCACACTCCACAATCAGGTCACCTCCACACTCAACAATCAGGTCATCTCCACACTACACAATCAGGTCACCTCCACACTCAACAATCAGGTCATCTCCACACTACACAATCAGGTCACCTCCACACTTCACAATCAGGTCATCTCCACACTACACAATCAGGTCATCTCCACACTACACAATCAGGTCACCTCCACACTCAACAATCAGGTCATCTCCACACTCAACAATCAGGTCACCTCCACACTCAACAATCAGGTCATCTCCACACTACACAATCAGGTCACCTCCACACTCAACAATCAGGTCATCTCCACACTACACAATCAGGTCACCTCCACACTTCACAATCAGGTCATCTCCACACTACACAATCAGGTCACCTCCACACTTCACAATCAGGTCATCTCCACACTACACAATCAGGTCATCTCCACACTACACAATCAGGTCACCTCCACACTCAACAATCAGGTCACCTCCACACTCAACAATCAGGTCATCTCCACACTCAACAATCAGGTCATCTCCACACTCCACAATTAGGTCACCTCCACACTCAACAATCAGGTCATCTCCACACTCAACAATCAGGTCATCTCCACACTCAACAATCAGACCATCTCCACACTCAACAATCAGGTCACCTCCACACTCAACAATCAGGTCATCTCCACACTCAACAATCAGGTCATCTCCACACTACACAATCAGGTCATCTCCACACTTCACAATCAGGTCACCTCCACACTCAACAATCAGGTCACCTCCACACTCAACAATCAGGTCATCTCCACACTCCACAATCAGGTCACCTCCACACTACACAATCATGTCACCTCCACACTCCACAATCAGGTCACCTCCACACTACACAATCAGGTCACCTCCACACTACACAATCAGGTCACCTGCACACTACACAATCAGGTCACCTCCACACTCCACAATCAGGTCATCTCCACACTACACAATCAGGTCACCTCCACACTACACAATCAGGTCACCTCCACACTACACAATCAGGTCACCTCCACACTACACAATCAGGTCACCTCCACACTACACAATCAGGTCACCTCCACACTCCACAATCAGGTCATCTCCACACTACACAATCAGGTCCCCTCCACACTACACAATCAGGTCACCTCCACACTACACAATCAGGTCATCTCCACACTACACAATCAGGTCACCTCCACACTACACAATCAGGTCATCTGCACACTCCACAATCAGGTCACCTCCACACTACACAATCAGGTCATCTCCACACTCAACAATCAGGTCACCTCCACACTCAACAATCAGGTCATCTCCACACTCAACAATCAGGTCATCTCCACACTCAACAATCAGGTCATCTCCACACTTCACAATCAGGTCACCTCCACACTCAACAATCAGGTCACCTCCACACTCAACAATCAGGTCACCTCCACACTCAACAATCAGGTCACCTCCACACTCAACAATCAGGTCACCTCCACACTCAACAATCAGGTCACCTCCACACTCAACAATCAGGTCATCTCCACACTCAACAACCAGGTCACCTCCACACTCCACAATTAGGTCACCTCCACACTCAACAATCAGGTCATCTCCACACTCAACAATCAGGTCATCTCCACACTCAACAATCAGGTCACAACAATCAGGTCTTCACAATCAGGTCACCTCCACACTACACAATCAGGTCATCTCCACACACTCCACACAATCAGGTCAATCAGGTCACCTCCACACTCAGGTCACACTACACAATCAGGTCACCTCCACACACAATCAGGTCACCTCCACACTACACAATCAGGTCACCTCCACACTACACAATCAGGTCATCTCCACACTACACAATCAGGTCACCTCCACACTACACAATCAGGTCACCTCCACACTACACAATCAGGTCATCTCCACACTCCACAATCAGGTCACCTCCACACTCCACAATCAGGTCACCTCCACACTACACAATCAGGTCATCTCCACACTCCACAATCAGGTCACCTCCACACTCCACAATTAGGTCACCTCCACACTCAACAATCAGGTCATCTCCACACTACACAATCAGGTCACCTCCACACTACACAATCAGGTCACTCCACACTCAACAATCAGGTCACCTCCACACTCCACAATCAGGTCACCTCCACACTCCACAATCAGGTCACCTCCACACTCCACAATCAGGTCACCTCCACACTCCACAATCAGGTCACCTCCACACTCAACATATAATATTTGTCATAAATATAAAAAAAAATCCTCTCTATTAATGTTGTTTTAAACAATGTCTGAACATTTTGACGTGATTTTTTGTGCAGCAGAGAATATGAACATATGATAAAAAAATATATATTTTTTGTTAAATATTGTAAAAAAAATAATGAAAAATGTCTCAACGCGACACAATATTTTTTGCAAGCTTTAAATATTATCACAAAATATAGTACAAATTCCTGTATAGACGCAGCTGCTACTGAAATTTCAATCAGGTATTTTCCACGTTAACGCAAACACTGAGGACTTAATTAGCCAACGTTAGGTTGTTTGCTTCGCTTAATATTGCAAAGTAAATCTTGGAGTGACAGGTGGACACCGAGTCAGACAGGCAGGCAAACAGGCAGACAGACAGACAGACAGACTGATGGAAGAGAAAATCCACATACCCAGCTCCGACACGCTCTGCGGAGGTTATGACGTGACAAAAATGTGTGAATAACCTTAAATTCATAATGAAGAGCTCGAATGTACGTCGACTGAAAGTGAAGGAGAAAGCACTTGGGTTTGGAAACTTGATAACTGGTGAGAAAGTATTCCGGAGGCCTGGCCAGAGACCGGGCCGCGAGGACGTTGATCCCCGGAATCAGCACAAGGTATCGCCCCAAGGTAAGTGTGAGGACTTGTGGGAACAAGGCAGGGAGGAGGACAATAAAGGCAGGGAGGAGGACAACAAAGCAGAGAGGAGGACAACAAGGCTGGGAGGGGGACAACAAGGCTAGGAGGAGGACAATAAAGGCAGGGAGGACGACAACAAGGCTGGGAGGAGGGCAACAAGGCAGAGAGGAGGGCAACAAGGCAGGGAGGAGGACAACAAAGCAGGGAGGAGGACAACAAGGCTGGGAGGAGGACAACAAGGCTGGGAGGAGACCAATAAAGGCAGGAAGGAGGACAACAAGCCTGGGAGGAGGACAACAAGGCTGGAAGGAGGACAACAAGGCTGGGAGGAGAACAAGAAGCCTGGGAAGAGGACAACAAGGCTGGGAGGAGGACAACAAGGCAGGGAGGAGGACAACAAGGCAGGGAGGAGGACAACAAGGCTGGAAGGAGGACAACAAGGCAGGGAGGAGAACAACAAGGCAGGGTGGAGGACAACAAGGCAGGGAGAAGGAGGACAACAAGGCAGGGAGGAGAACAACAAGGCTGGGAAGAGGACAACAAGGCTGGGAGGAGGACAACAAGGATGGGAGGAGGACAACAAGACTAGGAGGAGGACAACAAAGCTGGGAGGAGGACAACAAGGCTGGGAGGCGGGCAACAAGTCTGGGAGGAAGACAACAAGACTGGGAGGAGGACAACAAGGCTGGGAGGAGGACAACAAGGCAGGGAGGGGGACAACAAGGCTGGGAGGAGGACAACAACGCTGGGAGGAGGAAAACAAGGCTAGGAGGAGGATAACAAGGCAGGGAGGAGAACAACAAGGCTGGGAGGAGGACAACAAGGCAGGAAGGAGGACAACAAGGCTGGGAGGAGGACAACAAGGCTGGGAGGAGGACAACAAGGCCGGGAGGAGGACAACAAGGCTGGGAGGAGGACAACAAGACTGGGAGGAGAACAATAAAGGCAGGAAGGAGGACAACAAGCCTGGGAGGAGGACAACAAGGCTGGGAGGAGGACAACAAGGCTGGGAGGAGAACAAGAAGCCTGGGAGGAGGACAACAAGGCTGGGAGGACACCAAAGCAAGGATGAGGACAACAAGCCAGGGAGAAGGACAACAAGGCTGGGAGGACAACAAGGCTGGGAGGAGGACAACAAGGCAGGAAGGAGGACAACAAGGCAGGGAGAAGGAGGACAACAAGGCAGGGAGGAGAACAACAAGGCTGGGAGGAGGACAACAAGGCTGGGAGGAGAACAACAAGGCTACGAGGAGGACAACAAGGCTAGGAGGAGGACAACAAGGCTGGGAGGAGGACAACAAAGCAGGGAGGAGGACAAAAAGGCTGGGAGGAGGACAACAAGCCTGGGAGGAGGACAAGGCAGAGAGGAGAACAACAAGCCTGGAAGGAGGACAACAAGGTCGGGAGGAGGACAACATGACTAGGAGGAGGACAACAAGGCTGGGAGGAGGACAACAAGGCAGAGAGGAGGACAAGAAGGCAGGGAGGAGGAGGACAAAGAGGCAGGGAGGAGGACAACAAGGCAGGGAGGAGGAAAACAAGGCTGGGAGGAGGACAACAAGGCTGGGAGGAAGACATCAAGACTGGGGGGAGGACAACAAGGCTGGGAGGGGGACAACAAGACTGGGAGGAGGACAACAAGGCTGGGAGGAGGACAACAAGGGTGGGAGGAGGACAACAAGGCTGGGGGAAGACAACAAGACTGGGAGGAGGACAATAAGGCTGGGAGGAGGCCAACAAGGCTGGGAGGAGGACAACAAGGCTGGGAGGAGGACAACAAGGCTGGGAGGAGGACAACAAGGCTGGGAGGAGGACAACAAGGCTGGGAGGACAACAAGGCTAGGAGGAGGACAACAAGGCAGGGAGGAGGAGGAAAACAAGGCAGGGAGGAGGACAACAAGGCAGGGAAGAGGACAACAGGGCTGGGAGGAGGCCAACAAGGCTGGGAGGAGGACAACAAGGCTGGGAGGAGAACAACAAGGCTGGGAGGAGGACAACAAGGCAGGGAGGAGGACAACAAGGATAGGAGGAGGACAACAAGGCAGGGAGGAGAACAACAAGGCTGTGAGGAGAACAACAAGGCTGGGAGGAGAACAACAAGGCTAGGAGGAGGACAACAAGGCAGGGAGGAGGACAACAAGGCAGGGAGGAGGACAACAAGGCTGGGAGGAGAACAACAAGGCTATGAGGAGGACAACAAGGCTAGGAGGAGGACAACAAGGCTGGGAGGAGGACAACAAGGCAGAGAGAAGGAGGACAACAAGGCAGGGAGGAGAGCAACAAGGCTGGGAGGAAGACAACAAGGCAGGGAGGAAGAGGACAACAAGGCAGGGAGGAGGACAACAAGGCTGAGAAGAGGGCAACAAGGCTCGGAGGAGGACAACAAGGCAGGGAGGAGGACAACAAGGCACGGAGGAGGACAACAAGGCTGGGAGGAGGACAATAAGGCAGGGAGGAGGACAACAAGGCAGGGAGGAGGACAACAAGGCTAGGAGGAGGACAACAAGGCTGGGAAGAGGACAACAAGGCTGGAAGGAGGACAACAAGGCTGAGAGGAGGAGGACAACAAGGCTGGGAGGAGGACAACAAGGCTGGGAGGTGAACAACAAGCCTGGGAGGAGGACAACAAGGCTGGGAGGAGGACAACAAGGCAGGGAGGAGTACAACAAGGCAGGGAGGAGGACAACAAGGCTGGAAGGAGGACAACAAGGCTGAGAGGAGGACAACAAGGCAGGGAGGAGGACAGCAAGGAAGGGAGAAGGAGGACAACAAGGTTAGGAGGAGGACAACAAGGCTAGGAGGAGGACAACAAGGCTGGGAGGAGGACAGCAAGGCAGAGAGGAGGACAACAAGGCAGGGAGGAGGAGGACAACAAGCCAGGGAGGAGGCCAACAAGGCAGGGAGGAGGACAACAAGGCTGGGAGGAGGACAACAAGGCTGGGAGGAAGACATCAAGACTGAGAGGACGACAACAGGGCTGGGAGGAGGACAACAAGACTGGGATGAGGACAACAAGGCTGGGAGGAGGACAACAAGGCTGGGAGGAGGACAACAAAGCCGGGAGGAGGATAACAAGGCTGGGAGGAGGACAACAAGGTTGGGAGGAGGACAACAAGGCTAGGAGGAGGAAAACAAGGCTGGGAGGAGAACAACAAGGCTAGGAGGAGGACAAAAGGGCTAGGAGGAGGACAACAAGGCTGGGAGGAGGACAACAAGGCACGGAGGAGGACAACAAGGCTGGGAGGAGAACAACAAGGCTAGGAGGAGGACAACAAGGCTAGGAGGAGGATAACAAGGCTGGGAGGAGGACAATAACGCAGGTAGGAACAACAACAAGGCTGGGAGAACAACAAGGCTAGGAGGAGGACAACAAAGCTAGGAGGAGGACAAAAGGCTGGGAGGAGAACAACAAGGCTTGGAGGAGAACACCAAGGTTAGGAGGAGGACAACAAGGCTAGGAGGAGGACAACAAGGCTAGGAGGACAACAAGGCTGGGAGGAGGATAACAAGGCAGGGAGGAGGACAACAAGGCTGGGAGGAGAGCAACAAGGCTAGGAGGAGGAAAACAAGGCTAGGAGGAGGACAACAAGGCGGGGAGGAGGACAAGGCCGGTAGGAGGACAACAAGGTTGGGAGGAGAACAACAAGCCTGGGAGGAGGACAACAAGG